TGTTCAGAAAATCAGAGTTGGGACTATTTTGGGGTGGGTCATAGACTGCGTATATCTTGAAATGTTTTAGCCATTTCCAATCATATAATCTGTTTATTTCGCATGTGTTTTGCGTCGAGCCCATACTCTTGATTAGATCGTAGTGTGAGGTGAGGCCTTCTTTTACTCCAGTCAGAATTCCACTTGTAATTTGCCGGTATTTAGGTAGAAGGTAAAAGATGTAACCCGGAAATTGATACTATTTGAGTTTGTCATCCGTAAGGTTTGCTTCCATGATTGTGAATATGTCTTTGTCATAGGTATGTAGGATTTTCTGGATTTGGATCCTCTTGTCCTGTGACATCCCTCCAGCATTCCACTGAAGGATCTGTAGAATTTGTGATTCGCCCTGACAAGGGCGATTTCCCTAATAGCTTAGTTTCAGGCTGATCATAATAATTTGAAGTCAACTACCGAGTTATTGACTTTTTGCCGTGTGAATATACGCTGTCCAGGATGCACCACGTGGAGGCCAGAGCATTATATCTTGGTATTTAATCTTCACTTAAAATTTCAAACACTTTATAATGATAGACAATAATATACATTTTTTCATCGCGCCTCAGGTGTTAACATTACCATCTTATTTCTTATCACTTCATCTGCAAAAATCGATTTCAATCACAGCTAAATGTACGATGAGGAGTTCTTTGCGGCAGCATTCGACCTTTTGAAGTGAAAACTACAAATTTTACATATAAATGTACTAGTAGAGGAAGTTCTTGAGATTAAAATCTATTGATAACCTCTAGAGGTGTTTGTGATCAATTGCCCTAACTAAATTCTTACAAGTGGGGCTTCGCGATCCTTTTCTTTGCTCAAATCAAATGTCGCGAATGGCTCTAATCGGTCTGGGTAGCGAATATCTCGCAAGGAAACATTGGCTTATTGCAATTGCAGTCCTTATGAAGTCGGTAAGATTATATTATCGACAAGACAGAAAATATGTAAAATTTCACAGTTTTGTTTGATTGCAGCAATATCTGAAGTTTTAGAGCAAAACTTGAAACACCACTCTGTCTTACTTATTTGAATTAAGTAACACTTTCAACATCTGTAGATCCACCTGATGCCTCAATTTTGCCTCGAGAATCCACAACAACCTATGGTGGGGGAAGTAGCACTGGAGTCCAACCTCACCGATCCATGGTGAGTGTCAGTCCTGCCAGTGACTTCACAAGCGGCGGAGTTGGTGGTGGTGGAATATTCAGCGGGTCAGGAGTGTCTTCTGGGGGTTCTGTGGCAAGTGGACCTCTAATGTCCTCCCGACAAGGTACCACCGTCATCGAAATCTGGCTGGCTGAACCCTATCAGGTTAGTTAAATTTTTGAACATATGATGGAGAGCCTTTTAAAATTTTCAACTTTGATCGGGATTCTGAAGCTCCTCCTGTGTAGATATTCATATTTGGTCATCCCTCTGGTGATCGGTGTCAACCGGTATGGTTACTCATTTCTGATCACTGACCCCGAGTTCTCCTACGTTTTAAAAGCATTAATTACTGTAAAATTGTCTGTGCATAGTTGAAATTATGTTGTAGTAGATAAGTAGATTAGTAGGAAGAGGTCTACACTTTAGTCGACACTAATGGTTGAAAATCGATAAATTTCTAACTGGCCGAGGAAACGCATTGAAGTGGAAAAATCGAGGAGCAATCGCAATAGCCTATGGACAAACTCTGAAGTCATAATGGCAGTATATATCTCTCATTTAGATACTATCACTTTATTTCTATTGAATTAAAGATTAATTTACCCATTGAATCCACTAGACTGATGCTTGCAGGTAGCATTATTGTGCCATAATATATTTAGCTCTATCTATGGAAGAAAAATTTATCTACAGAATTTCATTTATTGGGGCTTAATTTGCCCCCTACTCACCCTCCATTTTGTTGGGCGATGTTGCCCACGTTTCTTTTTTTCATAGTAGGAAAACTGCGCGGCCGGTAGTTATCTGTTTTTTGAGATCGTCACGAATCGTTGTGGATAAAAAAGACGGAAGACAATACCAATGGAAGAAGTTATGATTTCATGTTGGCAAATTGATTGTAGAAGTGAACGTTTGGGCTTGGAACTATTTACATGGGGATATGATTTCTTAACATGAAACTTATTTTCAGTACAGCATGTAACAGTTTTGAGCTTAGTTGGATATGCTTACCAACACTTATATTTGGCAGAGGAATGGTATTCTGGAGATCCACTCATATGAAAATCGATATTTATCAACAATCTGCACTAATTAGTACAGTTGACTGAGACATTCGTTGAGAGCAGTGCTGACGAATTTCCAACCCGTGTTGTCTGTCTATAGCCCACAATCCCACTAGGTTAAATATTGTGGGAATTGAAGCTCTATATTAGCTTGCAAACCACTGTTTCATAATAACCCTTTCATCCAATCACTTTAGGCAAAGAATATAATTCATCTATGCGCTGGGAATCATTCGCTCTTTATGCGGAGGAGACAACCAGATTCCATCGATGTTCAGCAGATGAAGGCTCATGAGCGCGAGGAAAGGATTCGTCGGGAGGTAAGACAGCATATCTACTCTAACTATAAGCTTGCAAAGAATATTATTGATTTGCCTCTTGAGCACCTAAAGTAAGAAGAACTTTGGTGGGAAGGTTGAAGTAAATGAGGTCGAGGACACCTAGAAAAATGGCTCTTCGGATAAAGATTAGCGGTTACTACTAACGAAGATGGTGTGATATGTAAGAGCCCATTAGGCTAAGGTCAAGGTAGACTCCGGTGTGTTATAATACGCTAATTCAGCAAATTGAGCCTTCTATATCAGTCAAGATCCATTAATTATGTTATACTTAGAATATACAAACTGTACATTATTTTCATATTCAGATGTTTGTTCTATAATGACATATGAATAAGTTAAGAAGTTGCATCCCTAGAATTTTCATAATTCTCCTTCAGCTTTAAAATAGAATATTTACGTATTGATTGGCAACTTTTAGCAATTACATCTCCGTTACATTTAACTTGTAATCTATGGAATATCAACTAAGTTTGCTTTGATTGACGAAAGCAGTCATTAAGCGCCGAACATTGAATCAAGAAAAGTAAATTTTGGAACGAGAGCTATCCATTTAGTAGGATCTAAATCTAACGAATTACGACTCCTCAACACCTTGGCATTGCTCGCAGTATCATATCGATTCGCATCAATTTATCCTATTTAGCCTTTCTGTTAATCGATTTTACGGGCTACCCTCAAGTAAAAATTTTCCGTGGGTAAGAGTAAAAACAAACATTGTAGGGATCTTAATTCTTGCTATTATTTGTTACTCCATCTGCATACAGTTGAGAGAAATGAACTTTGCTCAGAGGTCCAAATTCAAAGAAATACGTTCTCTTCCGTTCTTCAAGCATTTTCGATCTTAAATAAATATACGAAAGCAAACTCCCGTCAGCATGAATTATGGCGGTAATATAACGCTACGTTCTCTTATAGACCGAACGAGCCCGTCTATTACGCGAACGCTCTGAAAAAGCAGCTGCTCTAAAACTTAACGCCGCCCTCGAATCTCGATGCGCCGAGCTCGAGTCCGCCCTTCGCTCAGCTGCCGTCGCTGCAGGATCTCTGTCGCCCACTTCTCCTGTCGAACCTCTACTTTCCAGCCGGCGATCATCCAGCCGACGCAAAGGCATGTTCAAAACGGGTGAAAGTGGTGAAGAAGAGGGAAGTGCAGTTGCTGTTGAAAATGAGGATGATGTAGCTGATGGGGAGAATTTGGAGGAGGATGTAGAACTCAGACGGAGAATTGGAGTCCAATTCTCCTCTAGAGAACCTCAAGAATGCCCTTCCATCCCTTCTGGATATTCCCGACTTCAACATCAGCCACGATCAATAACTCGGAGAGGTGGTGAAGGAAAAAAGGTGAAAGGTGGTTTGGTAGAATCACCGTCGATTGCTGTAGGGTCGGTGGAAATCGCCTCACATCAGGGGACTCATACGGGCATTTATGAGGGGTTCATCTTGGTTCAATCAACTGCTGAATCTGCTCCACCAACACGGTCAGAACCTGCAATCCCGCATACACAGACTTGGTCCCCTGTAAGTTATTTGGCATTCAATTATTACTAGTATTATGCTCTTTCACCGGGAAAGCAAATATCTTCCATTTCTCACTGTGGGAAAGAGACTGAAAGTGGTTGAGAATAAGTTCAATGAAGGATAAATCCCAGGGACTCAGCGATTTCGAGAATAAGGGCCCCTTCTTTATTTGTTCCCATTCAGTGTCGGGTCATGCAATATCCAATGGGTAGATCGTGTTCCAAAAATGTACTCTACTTATTCTCCACTTACATTACTCACTATGATACCAAGTGCCTATTAACCGCCTGTTTAATTATGATGGTTTATGTTAGTACATCACTCCTTTTTTCCCGCAGGATGCTCTTACATGAAATTATGTAGATCCCATTTTATTATAATGACAAATCTGAGATATTAGTAATGAAAGCTGTGGCTATCTTTTGACTCTAAAGCTTGTTTGTTAATGAAAATATCCAAGTTAGTTGGCGTGGATTGAAATTGCTCTCCATGCCAATTTCTAAATGAACAGACTTTCTTCCTATGCCTCCGGACAACAAACATATCTGCTGGTAGGTCTTTCATTTTTCCATTTTCCTTGCTGGTTGACATTACTGTTGAAGAAACCGAGAGTTTAGCTTTGGCTCTAATTTGCATGTAGTGTCCTAATACCCTTGGGAAGAATAGCTACAGAAAACGACACATCTTGATTAACGATTAAGTTCCTTAGCCACTAGGAACCTAAATCTAAGAATAGAGTGGAAAGCATGTGGCGTGTATATTCTTATTATGAGAGCGCAAAGGGACATTTCCTTCTCCTCATTGAACAGGCCATAAGAAGAATAAATCATGGTTGGGGGATGCTGGGGAATTAAACAGGGTGGGG